ATACTAATTAAATAATATTTTTTAATATATATGCGTATTAAAAAGATTTAAAAAAATGACTTAAAAATATTATATGTAATAGTACACTGCGGCGGAAACCAAAATTTTTTGGAAGAGACAAAAATATATTTTTGATAATATAATCTCCTGGACGTGATTTAAAATATTTAGTGTTATTTTAATCAGATAGCAAAGTGGAATCGATCCAACTACCTTTAATCTGTCGGCATACCCTTAGAAGATGAAATAATGGTGATAGAATGAATAGGTGCTACTGTGCTACTGCTCCGAATAAATTTTATTTCGCTTTTCCGCGGAAAAAATTGTCTTCCTAAATGAGTGTTCATAAGAAAAAGTATAATGATTTCACTATAAGACTTAATCATTCATATATTATCAATCTAAAAAATTTTATACTCACAATTAATCATATTCTTTAAATTATTTTATTTTATTATTATTTTATTAAATAAGCATTTAACATGCCACTATTAAAAAATATAATTAATTAACAGTGTAAAAAAAATTTATATTGATAATATATAAGTAATTAACTCTAAAACCAAAGTTAATTCAATGAAAATCAATATAATATATATGAATGAGTTTAGATAATCGGTCAACGATAAAGATAAAAGCATATGTATAATTAAATGGACAACTATTATATAAGTAACATAAATATATGTAATTTTACCCCACATATATATAAAGATATACAAATGTATATTAAAAAAATTAAATAACAAAAATAATTTTAACATGAATAATAATATATCAAAATAAGCATTAAAAATAAAATTTGAGTTCAAACAATAATAAATATAAAGGAATTTGACTCAATGTAGACAAGTTATTGATATTGAGTTCAATTCTTACAAATGAAAAAAAAAACCTAATAAAAAATAAGAAAAATATGTTTCATTTTATAAAATACTTTTAATCAAATTATACAGATTAACATTAATAGTTATGTTAGTTAATTTTTTGGGTTTATAAAATAAAATTATAATATATTATATCATTTTTACCCTTTCTAATTATCATTAATTACTTTTTTTATAGAAATGATGCAAATATTACTCTATATTAAAACTTATATGCACCATATCAATAAAATTGATAAATGTAATAGAAGAGTTTAAGAAGTATGAGAAAATATTTATTTATCAAATTATTTTCTCATTATTTATAAAGAAAAAATATGTTCACAACTTTTAATAGAAAAAAAAAAGATTAAAAAAATATAATTAATACTTTATAAAAATTGAAAAGTACTTCATAAAAAAAAACTACAATTTTCTTCATAAATGTGCCCTATAATAATTTAAGTATTGGAGAATGTAAAAAATTATGTCACAAAATATAATATATAAAGAAGTTAAGTAAAAGATAATGTTTTTTTTTTCTTTTTCTGAAAGCATTGGAACAAGAACGATAATAAAAGTTCAAAATAAATATTGAAATTTAAATTCAGATACACAATTATGTGTTTAAGTAATTAAAGAAAATGTTAATTTCTTAAACACTTTTAATGTTGTTGTTGTTTTTTTTTTTTTTTTTTATAGAGATACATGCCAAATAAGTTTTTTTATAGATGAAAAAGGGCTAATGTTGTGGTGTTTAATATTCGGAAGGTCTTCTAAATAAGTAAGCAATAAAAATTAAATCAATATGAATAAAAAACCAAAAAAAGTCAATATTTAAGCAAGTTTTTTAAGGAAATAATAAGTCGTTTTTAATTATTTAAATAATAAGTTAATATTAAAACGAGTTTTAAATAATTAATATCATAAAAATATTACTTACAAAATTAATAAGAACATTAATAAAAATAGACTTAATTGAAATTTTTATCCAAAGTTACACAATCTCACAAATTTTGTCCAAATCCTTTTTGCAAATTTTATTTCGAATGTAAAATACTGTGAATTTGGTTCTTATGTACTTAAAACGATTACAATTATGCCATTTTAGAACAACTATTTTTTTTATATGATCAGAATTAAGAATGCGTTTGGTAAAATTAGTATATAAATTAGTTAAAAATTTATAATTATTTGTTAAGTAGAGTTGGGATAGTCAGGCTGATTGAATAGATTGAAAGTGTTCGAAAATATTAACTAGTAAAATATTTGATAAATGCAAAACGATATATTTTATTATGTAAAGTAAAAAAAATATTTTAAATAAATTAAAAGAATAAAAAGCAAAAAAGTAATAACTTATGAAAATAAGCTAAAATCTATTAAATAAACTTGCACACTAAACAATATTATTTTAGATAAACTAACTTATAAACTTTTTTAATATCTTGTCAATAGGATAAAAATGGGTTAAATAATTTGTTAAGAGTATGTAACTTCACTTATTTATTAAAAAAAATTAAACTTAAATTTTTTAGAAAGATTTTGTTTATTAGAAAGATCATACTATAGACTTTTAAACTTGATAAACTAATTGAATCCAGCAAGACACTAATGGTTTAATGATTTAATTGTGTTTAAACGGTCATTAATAAAATAAAAATATTTAAATAATAGATAAAAAATATTACATAAATTCAATATCATAATTTTATAAAACTAAAATTAAAATAAAATATCATTTTATATACGTTTATTTTTTAAAGTACATGTAAAATTCTAAATATAATATTTAAGTTTAAATTTTAATAAAATATAAAAATATATATTAACAATTTTATATTTAGAGTAAACAAATTTAAAATTAATAAAATATAAAATATAAATTATCATGATATAAAAGTTAAAAATTAATATAAATAACTAAATTATATTTTTATAAAAAAATCTAATCCAATTATGACAAGAAGATACTTTGAAGACAAGTCATGCCTTAAAAAAGTTTATAATAAGTAATTAAGTTATTAGACTCAATCAAGGTTAAGAATTTTGTTATAGATTGTAATGTTTCAACAACTAAACCAATAAAAAACATAACTCTAACTAACTATGATTATTATGCAAGCAAATCCGGGATATACATACAACAATATATATGTATAGGAAAATAATCATATAAAAATCACAAATGTTTCTCAAAGAAACTACAACATAAATTGTCTGTGTGTATATATTACACACACACATACACACACACACACATATCTACAATAATCCCACTAAAAACATAGATCCTAGTTGTCAATTAAGCGACAACTAAAACTAGCTACATTAGAGTAACTCAAAACGCATATTGTCATTCTTCAGTATGACCCTCAAAATGTTTAGCCTCTAGTTTATTTATATCCTACTCTTATAACAAATATGATCATCGTAGTCCAACAACAAGAAAAATGTAAGGATATGCTTACATTAGATAACACAATAAGTACATAAGTGTGACTATACTATCAACATCTCAACAATGATAGAATCAACATGACAACTCCAATTAACAACTTTCAACATGTTTACACAACATATAAACCACACAATACAACTCATTAATGTTTTTAACTTAAACAACACAACATCTCAACATACAACACAACCATACAACTTAATCAACATATCAACTTGGTATATGAACAACACAACTTATCAACACACCATATGCACAACATAGCAACTCTGTGAGTTATCACACATTTAATTAAGAGATTTTTTACAATACAAATGAGTAGTTTAAGTGACTTGATCATACCAAATCAACTAACAACGTGATTTTTTTGAACTTGCTAGATCAACAACAAATTTGGATACAAATCTACAACATAACATGATTTCTCAAATTTTGCCACTTAAATTAAGAAAGTCCAATATTTCTGTCAAGGTTAGGACAACTTTGATGTGAGTCTACCACAACCTTAACATGCATAGTTAAGCTTATTATGGAGTTAGCCCACCGATCACCCTCCAAATTTGCACCCCTTTCAATACTTAGCTATTGATTTTGGTCTCCAACCTTGTACCTTACTCAATGGTCACTTCATACACGAATGACTCAACCTTGCCCCCATACAACTCAACACTGGTCACTTTATAATCGGTCTGACTCGACTTGACCCTATACTTTATCAACTAAGGATTGAGAGGAGACTCAACACTCCACTTCAAAATTCAAATACTCAAATCACTCCGGGTAGGGTTCTAGAACTTTCCTGTAGACTTAGAGAAGAAGGAATTTTCTCATACTTTAGAGCTCCTCTTTCCAACTTATCTTTATGTTTTCTTAAAAAATGAACTTATAAAACTTAAATTTTAAGAAAAACCTTATATACCTAATTGGTCAACTTTGACCTCAATTTAAAACGATTCTTAAACAATTAATAAAAAGATTCATAAGAATTCTTAAATCCTAAGAACTTCACAATAATTAAATTAATAAAATTAATTATTAACAACATGCACAATATTACATAGATTAATCTTAAGTCCACTAAAATCCAATATGAATATACTTATTTTTACTCCTAATTAATTATGAGATACACTTAAAGATAATTTTATGGTAGTTATTTTGTTGAATGTGGTTGATAAAAATAGTTTAGTAATTAGTACTACTTTTAATCCTAATTATAAGTAACATAGAATAAATTATCAAGATTAAAAAAAGTAATTATGTTAATTTTTTTTATTAATTCTATCATAAATTCAATTTTTATTTTAAAGATACTTTGTACTTCGAATTATTATTATATTTAATGTCAGTCACAGGTAAATATATAGAAAATAATAATTTAAGAGTATAAAAAAATTATTTATGAATACTTTTAAAAATTGATAATTGTTGCTTGTAATTAAAATAAAAGAAAAATTAAATTTATTAAATCATAAAAAGTGGAACAGTAGAGACTAGAGAGGAAAAGAAAAGGGTTGGTTTTGATATGATAGGAGTATGGTAATTAGCAGTAGGTCCCACAAGACAAGAATGGTTGTGGACTGTGGTGGTGTGAAATGAATGAGTAGAAGTGTTGGGTTTTTGGGTGAGAAGAGAAGAGCGCGTATATTCCAATTCCAAGAGGCACTATATAATAGGACATCTAATCTACCTCAGGGCTCAGGCTGAGGGAGTGAGAACACACATACCTCAATTTCAGCAAATTAATTGCCTTGAGTGAGAAAGAGAAAGAATGGAGATTGATAAAGGTGATCACCAAGACCAAGAAGAATCTTCCTCTCTCACTCTCGACTGGAGAGGTAGACCTTCCAACCCTGCCAAACACGGTGGAATGGTCCCCGCTGCTTTCGTTCTTGGTGCGCTTCCTCTCTCTCTCTCTCTTTTTCTTATCACACACTCACTCTTTTTAAGCCTTCACATTGAATTACAGGTTTGCAAGCATTTGAGATAATGGCAATCGCCGCAGTGGGAAACAACCTCATAACTTATGTCACCAATCATATGCACTTCCCTCTCTCCAAGGCTGCCAACGTTGTCACTAACTTTGTTGGCACCATCTTCCTCCTCGCCCTCCTCGGCGGCTATCTATCAGACTCCTTCCTTGGCAGCTTCTGGACCATGCTCATCTTTGCCTTCGTCGAACTTTCTGTAAGCCTCTCTCCTCTCATTTACCCACCATTATCCATATAACTTGGCCTATCAATAACTACTTTCCTCATCAACCATCTACAAAATACCGTCTCACATATTTCAGATACAACACTTATTAGACACACGTCTTAACACATGTTTTTAACACCTTTTCATAATTAAAAATTATTATTATTTTTTATTTTGAATATTTCTCTGACAAGAGAGCGACTCTACACTTACTCATTATCATATAAAATTAATTGTAAATCTTTTATATATATATATATATTTAGTGTCAGCTTGTCCTACATTTTAGACGTATCATGTCTTGGTATCTCTCTCTATATTGTGTTTGGAATCCATGTCGGAGTCAACACCCAATGAGTTTTCCCACCCCCTCCATTACAGCTGGACATATATTCCTTCTCAAGACTTAATTATAACTCATCATTCACATGGAATGGAATCTTCACTCATCTATTTCTTCTTATTAATTCCTTTTATAAATTAGTTTAGTTTGGACTATATATATATTGCCTGGTCTGGTCCATTATTTAATGTTTTGTACTTGTATATTGAGAGAGCCACATATAATATATGTTATAGATAAATATATAGTAATTATTAATATCTGGTTAATTAATAACAGGGTTTCATATTGCTATCGGTTCAAGCTCACGTTCCTCAGTTGAAGCCACCGCCATGCAATGATGGAGAACACTGCGTAGAAGCAAAGGGCTTCAAGGCCATGATATTCTTTGTAGCGCTATACTTGGTAGCGTTGGGGAGTGGCTGTGTCAAGCCCAACATGGTTGCTTATGGAGGAGACCAATTCGATCAAGACAACCCCAAGCAGTTAAAGAAGCTCTCAACTTACTTCAATGCAGCCTATTTTGCATTCTCTTTGGGAGAACTTATTAGCCTAACGATTCTTGTTTGGGTTCAAACTCACTCCGGAATGGACGTGGGCTTCGGGGTGTCCGCAGCTGTAATGGCAATGGGATTGATAAGCTTGATATGTGGCACTCTATATTACAGGAACAAGCCCCCTCAAGGCAGTATTTTAACCCCCATTGCTCAAGTACCAATCTTCAACCATACCTCTCTAATTTCTTATTTTAATCCGTTTTTGTGTTTCACTAACAATGAAATTTGTAATATAATATATATTTTTAAAAATATCATGAAGCACAAGGCATCACATCCTAGTTGAAGTGCTTGAAATATTAACGTTACATTATTATTATATTTTAATAAGGAGGACACATGGCTCATAATACTTTTATTGACTAAAAAAAAAGACCCCAAAACCAGAGAAATCACTTAAGATATATGTAGAGAGAGATATACATGTGACTATTTTAATTCAATGGCGTATTAATTGATTATCATAAGGAACACTACTTATTGCTAGTTATCTAGAAAATCATAATGTTTTCTTTCTCTCATATAGTGGGAGCTAAAAATAGTCTTGTCCAATATTGATTAGTCGGGTCATATTACACGGAGAAAAAAATGGCTATTTTGATTTTCTGAAAATCCTTCTAACATGGACATGTATAGTTGATTATTCTTCGGTTGTCGAATAATATTGTAAGTTGTGCTTGCTGAGTTGTGCATACGGGGAAAAGTGTTAATTTTAATACATAATTGATGGAGGCCCATCAATAATATATAATGTCTATGGATAATGTTGGCTTGTCTGTACGACTCTTAAACTAAAACAATCAAGTTACCTTGATCTAATTAGGTTCTTGTGGCTGCAATTTCGAAAAGAAAGCTGGTTTGTCCATCTAACCCACAAATGCTTTATGGAAGCCAAAACAATGCTGCTCTTCCTCATACCGATAAGCTCAGGTACTTACTTCTAAATTTAATTTGTTTCTATTGGTTGCAGCAGTCTGGTGGCTTGTATTTTTTCCAACACAAACAACTTCATAAACTTGATGATTTGTTCAGTTCACTTGTAATTATATCCTTCAATTTCGGAGATTCAGATTTAACTCTTCAACCAATTAATTATAAGCATAGATTCAATTTATGTGAATACATACTTACAAGTGCTACGTTTGATCAGGTTCTTGGACAAGGCTTGCATCAGAGTCCAAGAGGGGACTAATACAAAGGAAAGCCCGTGGAGATTATGCAGTGTTACCCAAGTTGAGAAAGTGAAGATATTGGTGTCGGTTATCCCAATTTTCTCGTGCACCATCGTTTTCAACACAATCTTAGCACAACTGCAAACATTCTCAGTCCAACAAGGGAGAGCCATGGACACTCGTCTCACCAAATCCTTTAGCATCCCTCCTGCGTCGCTTCAGTCCATTCCATACATTTTGCTCATCTTTTTAGTCCCTCTCTATGACACCTTCTTCGTCCCATTTGCCAGAAAAATCACCGGTCACGAGTCAGGAATCTCACCCTTGCGGCGAATAGGTTTTGGCCTCTTTCTAGCTACCTTTTCTATGGTTGCAGCTGCTATTATGGAGAAAAAGAGAAGGGATGCAGCTGTGAACCATAACGAAACTTTGTCCATCTTTTGGATAACCCCACAATTTTTAATCTTTGGGTTGTCAGAGATGTTTACAGCCATTGGCCTCCTTGAGTTTTTCTACAAACAGTCCTTGAAGGGCATGCAAGCATTCTTCACAGCTATCACATATTGCTCCTACTCATTTGGCTTTTATTTGAGCACAGTTTTGGTTTCCTTGGTGAATAAGATCACTTCAACTTCTTCATCTGGTGGTTGGCTTCACTACAACAACCTTAACCAAGACAGGCTTGATCTTTTCTATTGGATGCTGGCTGTCTTAAGCTTCTTCAACTTCCTTAGCTATGTCTTTTGCTCTACACGTTATTCTCATGCTCCTTCTTCCCTACCCCAACCTAATTCCAAGGAGATCAATCCATACTCAGGAGATGACAATATTCCATAGGATATATATTTTCAAATTATGTATATCTTTGCTTTTCTTTTACTATATATAAATATATATAAAGATACCGATAATTCTCCTTAGAAATACTCTTTTCGGATCTACAGTTACTGTAAAGAATTGTATGAAAATCTCGTATTGGGTCGCAAGCTTAATCTGATACTTCCTTTCCTTAATCTTAATTTGTTTACGTTACTCTTGAAATTCGGTAGAAGGAAGCACGTATATTTTATTTGTTTATAAAGTATATAAGAAGAAAATTTAATTATAACATTGAAGCGATATGTAAAGAATAAAAAAATTATACAGACAAGTATATAAGGTGTGTTTAGAGATGATTTAATTAAGCAATTATTATTTTATAAGTATACGAGATCTCTTCACCCAAAAAAAAAGTATACGACACAACAATATCTTAAATCATTTACTTGACTGCAAGTACGTAATTCAGCTTATAGAAAGACTTTATTGAATAGCAAAAAATTAGAGAGAAAGAAAGAGAGTCAACCGTGATTTCCAAGTATATGGATGTTCTGGTGCATACGAAACATGAGCTAAGTTCCATGCTTGAAGACTTTTCTTTTAAGTTTCTGCGAGATCAAGAGATGGACGAAGGGAGAAAAGAGCCTTCAATTTCTTGCCACATCTTTTTTCCAAAACTTGCATACACTTTTTTATCGTTCATTTCATTAAAATTTAAATTATAAATAAATTTGCGTACGACTTTACATAATTAATTATAAGGCTTATGTAGCTAAAATTATATATTTGAAGATTGTTGAGGTTGCTCTTGTTCTATCTTACAATGATGTACGGATTTGTATGGAGACATGTCTGAAACATGTTTTACTGTTCCCGCAGAAGCATTTGAATTGGCATCTTGGTAGGACAATAGTTACATCAAAATGTTGGCTAAAAGCTTAACAGATTCCCCACTTACCCCCAACAAAAATGGCTGGTCATGCCACTGAACCCACTTGGGTCTTAAATTTATGATTGTTTCGGCCAACTACATCAACTTATTTCTGCAAAAGTGTCTCCTTCCATCTCCTCTTCTTCTGAGTTCCCTCTTTAATTTCGCTTTTTTTATCATCTAAGAGAACGTTTTCAGTATTATATGAATATATTTAAATTTAAGCAAAACTTTAAAATATAAAAGAAATTAAGTATTATCATTACTAAATTATATAAAAATAAATCATTACTGCATAATATAAATAAAGGGGGAAAAGGATATAATAATAATAATAATAATAAATTTAGGATAAAATATATTGAGTCTTTATCTCATTAGAAAAATTCATTTTTATCCTTTAATCTTTAAATTTAAGTTAATACTATTCTTCTAAAACAGTGATTTTTTTTTAAATTAAACACAATATTTCGAAACTTTTCTTTTTACTAATAATACAAATAATTACTATCGTTGAAACTAGCTGATGATAATTTTTTTTCCATCTTTTTGACCTAGTTTACATATATTCATTGACATATACTAATAATATTTTAAAATAAAATACGATGCTTATATGTCAAGAATGGTCGGGATAGTTCCATTGCTAACATTTTTGGCATATGTAATTATGTGTGATAAATGAATATTTTGTTTTTGAGCAATACTGTACAAAATCATTATCATTACTGAAATTAGTTTATAATTTTATTTATTTAAGACATATATAAAAAAATTATGAAAATCAATTGATATCCTTTCAAAAAAATGATGAAAATTATGTGAAAAGTGAGTCTTACAAGTCACAAAGCAACCGAAAAAAATCTTAGTTTTTTTTTAGTTTGTTGATTACTTAAAATTCACTTTTCATTCGATTTTAACCATGTTTAATATTATTTTTTGTTTGAATGGTAGTTGGGTTTCATAAATTTTATAAAGTTATTAAAATAAAATAAACTTAAATTTTAACATTAAAAGGTCAAAACATTTTTTTATAAGATAAAAGACCAAATAAAATTTTCTAATAAGATAAATGGTAAAAATATATATTTTTACCTATAGTTAATTAAATAAGAAAAAATAAAGATATATGATTATTCAATCTATTATTTGTGTGTAAATGAAATTTTATTAATCCAATTGTTGAATCAAAAGAACAAATTTCAATTTTTTTTATAAACTTTTAAAATGAATTATTTGATAATTCATTAAATAAATTTAATATAATATTTTAAAATAAAAGCAAATATAGATGATATATAACAATGTATAATTTGTCTGGTAATATTAAAATATTTAATAACTGGATTACTTTTTTTTAGGGAAATAACTGGATTACTTAATAAGTTAAAACATAAAAATAATTATTAATAAAAATAAGTATATCAACAGTTGCTCTTTGGAGTAACATATATTTTACTCAAAGTAACATTTTTTTACACCAATTACTCAAAGTAACATTAAAAAATAATTAAAAATCTATGATATGATAATAAGTATATGTAAGATAATATGTTTTAAGTTCTAACATATTTTGGAATTTATTTTAAACTCAAATTGACGAGATTTTTCATCAATAAGTATATGTAAGTTTTGCGTCAATTGTAACCATTTGAGATGAATTTATTGAAGAAAACACCAACGTTTCAATTATCATCATAAGAAATTTCCACATAAGAAAGAAAGATATTTATGAGAGTAAATTTTTATAAACCAAATGGGAAAGAGGTGTGACTAGTAAATAGCCCAAGGGTTATAGAAGGCGGAGGGCCAGCCCAAGGCGAAGCCCAAAACGAAATATGATATGATATGATGGTTATGACTTAGGAGTTAGGAGTTGGGAGGTAGCGTTGTGTTGTGGGCAGTGGTGCAAGAATCGGAAAAGAAAGGAGAATTAGGGTTTGAGAGATGCAAGGCGGTGATGAAGTAAACATACAAGAATTGGCCTCCAATCTTTCCCTCTACAAAGATCAACTCAACCAGGTTTGGTCACTTCAACTATTCATTCTTTTCTCATAAAAAATTGTACCTTCTCTAACCCTTTTCAATCCCTCATCAGGTCAGAGAGCTTTTGAACGATGACCCTTCAAATACTGAATATGTTGACATGGAGAGGGAACTTTGCGAGGTATGTTTCCCCCTTTTTCTGCAAAACAATCTCCCACTTGTTCTCAATCATCATTCGTTGATTATTTCTCGAGAAAGCAGATCCCTTCCAACCATAAAGACATCAGAGGATCATGTCTGTCTGCCCTTCCTATGCACCCCATTTTATATTAGTAATCAAACTCATTTCTTTTATTTTCTTGGTCAAAAAGGTGAGAGTAGTAGTCTTTTATTTCGAATTGCACTTCGGCAATTTGTAATATCATTCAAATTGCTGAACCTCAGGAGCATGAGAAAAAAAAAGTGAATGTTAGATATGTAACACAAAATAAGAGAACCTCGTCAAAATGCACATCACGTCTATCTTGGTTCTGTGCAGGTGTGCTCTGTGTCGTGATGTCCAGCATGCTTTCTCCCTCTCACCTGATATGAGATGTTCACACTGAGATTCTAAGTTAGAATTTTGACATTAATTTGGTTTATCATGTCAAAATTTCTGGAGAAAAAAAACATACTTGTTTTACTGAACATGAACGTCGCCTAAAATTGTGTTACACAGGTCATTGCTTTGACGGAGGAACTCCTTGCAACTGCAAAGCAAAATGAAATATCTGCTTCAACGGCTGCTCCTAATGCTTCTGCATCTCCAACTTTGTCAACACATAAGGAGAATAAAGTGGTACCTGCTCAATATTCTTATTTCACTTTGGAGTTTACTTGCACAGGCTGCGCAATGTGTCTGCTTTATTGCTGTCAGTGAAATACTGAAATTGAAATCATCATAAGGGATTATGTGATTAAATTTACATAGATTTTTTAGATGACATCTGCCTTTACCCTCAATTTCCTTTCTCTTTTCATAGATATACTTAACAGACCTTATCTGAATTGGGACTATATGAGCGCTTATTCATTTCAAATATTTGTTCTATTTACAAGGCTACTAATCATTGTGGGTGTTGCAGTGATGCTGTAATTAATTACGAATTTGGTGAAGCTAGTGTTTTCAATTGGAATTTGGAATTGTTTCCTTGTAAGAATTTCTTTTAATTAGAATATAAAAAATGTTGAGAGATTTTGGCAAGAGAAAGGTGACCCAAGTTTTGCTCCAAGTGTGTTATGTTTTTTGGCCCTTTGGTGTATTGATTGGTGTGGAATGATTGGATGTCGAAGGCAAATTGTCTTTGTTATGGTGTAGGACTGCAGGAGTTTTCATGTCCTCATTTTGGTCCTTTGCTCATGGTTTTCTTTAGGGAGTCTACTCAGTATACATGTAATGTGATTAACATTGATTCATATCAAGCAAATATTCTTGTGTGCATGATAAGGATTGTGTGCATGATAAGGATCATGTCTTATCCCTGCCACGTAGTTTGCTGCTTTTGGCTATAACAGAACCCTGCTGATGGGAACAGTTGCTAGATATGCATTGATATTAATATGTATCTACAACACATTGCATTGTTATGTGCTATAATAGATTTTATTACTTTCTTTTAATATTTGATGAAATTACAAACTGGCAGAATCTGTGTAGGAAACAATTGAAGTCATCTCTGAACAGTAATGAAGCACTAATGTGTGCAATACTTTTTTGGTGATCATTAGTGATTCCTTGTGTTATTTCACTTCTAACAGCTGGATAGCGGTTATGATCATCAAGAGAAACTTCCTGTTGGCACCAAAGTTCAGGCAGTTTGGAGTGAAGATGGGGAGTGGTATTGTTGTCTATCTATTTTATTTTCAATTTCATTTACATATGTTTTCTGTGTTCACTTTGTTGTATTATGAATGTCCAGGTATGATGCAACAATTGAGGCTTATACACCAAATGGTTATTATGTATCTTATGACAATTGGGGTAATAAAGAAGAGGTAAGGCTTATAAAACTACTTGATCACACCTGATCTCAGTTCCTAGTCATAGGGTGTTTAATGTTGTCTATGCATAATTTTTTCTCTAAATTCTTTATTGCTACATGTTTTATGTCATGCAAGCATTTTCATGCTACAAGGAAAATAGTGGGTGGGAGGGATCAAGTTCTATTGAAAGTTCTGTCTTGTTTGGTTGTTCATATTAATTGTGGGAAGCTTTACCTTTGTTGCCCAGGAGCTGGTCCTGTCATTGCTGTGCTCATTCTTATCTTCTATTTCTTCCGATTCTTCTTGCCATCTAAATCTTTGCTACCCATCAAACTTTCTCTTGAGCTCATTGATTCCATCAAGCCTCGCCTGGAAATTTATAGTTTTAGCCTTAATGTATTGCTAAGTAATGTATTTCTAATATACAATCAATCATTTGTATATAACGTAGTCCTTAGTTAATATTTGACCACAAGACAACCAAGTATGATGTGCTATTATTGAACTAATGAATGATTTTATTGAACAAGTAGGAAATAGAAGAAGAAAACTTCTCCTGAATGGGGTTCCCTTGCAAAGGTTTCCCCTTTCCGGAAAGAGCAAACAAACAACATACAATTGATAACCAAGTAGAATGTCTCCTTTCCTATTGTGTGGATGAATTGTTCCATAGCCTATAGTTCAGTTGGGAAAGTGAATGATGGTGTATTTTTTATTGCTGAAGTTTACTGACAACATTTCATGCTCATAGAATATGTTGACCACATATATATGCCATTAAAGCAAGTCACTGCTCATCAATTACAATCTAAAGCATTATATTTGTTTATAGACTAATATTCCAACAATTTTCTTGTTTCTTAAATCTTGAGGTAAAAATCATGTGTCGCTGGTGGATGTCTATTACAGGTTGATCCTGCCAATATAAGGCCAATGCAAGAAGGTACTGTTGATGCTTTGTTAGAAGCTGAGCGAGTTGCTGAAGCTACAAAACAGGCTATCAAACGAAAAATTGCGCAAGCTGCATCTATTGATTTTCAGTCTCGGAGTCTGCCTGCAAAGCTTCGTATAGAGGCTGATGATACTGAGGATGTGGTGAGTTGTTTCATCAAATTTTCATTCTCCATAAATTAATACCTTTCTGGAGTGAAAATGGTTGTTTTCAACATTTTGACGAAATACTTGTATTTTCTGCCTTTTCTATTTATGATTCTTGATATTGGTGTGTAGTCATTCTTTCTGTATGTTTTTCCAACAATGAAAATGTTTGCTAATGGGTTCTGGAATTGTTTATAGAAGTTTATCTACTATTCTAGGATTCCATGAATGACATGTTTTCTGACTGAATAATCTCAGAAAGCTTCCAAACGCAAGAAAATACATGCCTTTAAGTCAAAGATGCGAATGGAGCAACTTGAAGTTACACAAAATAAGAGGCAAAATGCTTGGCAGCAATTTCAGTCAACCAAAGGAAAGGCAAAGAAGGTACCTTTTTCAAATTTCTCGACTTTGAAAATTTTTATTCTCATCTTAGATAAGTTTTAAGAAGTTTACACAGCTTATTTTAGGTTCTTTTATGCCTACAATTTGCACATTTCATTTTCACTATGAATTATTTGATTTTTGCGTTTTCTTTGTATTCAACCGAGTTATTTACTATGCTTGAGTTTTTTGTAAAGATAATTTTTACGTACTGATTTATGCAAGACTTTGGCTTTGCTTTTACAGATTGGTTTCTTCTCGGGAAGAAAGCGGGAGAGTATTTTTAAATCTCCTGATGATCCTCAGGGAAAGGTTGGTGTGACGGGAAGTGGTAAAGGTTTGACAGAGTTCCAGAAAAGAGAAAAACATTTTCATCTCAAAGATGGTACAGTTGAGAGCGATGATTAGGTTACCACCTATTAGCCTTTCAACTGTATGTAACATGACTGTCAAACAACCATTCCCTGTAGAGGTTCACTGATGTTAAACCAAACGTTATCTAGTGGAATGCGTTGAGACTGTTCTAGATTATGGTATTAGCCCCTAATACATATATATATGTTTTTTCCTTTTCCTTGATTTATCGTGATGCAATTTTATGGTATTATGATGTGTATTGTTGGCTAGATGTTCAATTTTCTGAAATTCGACCAGTTCATCGATTTGCTGGCCATAGCGTAAATATCAGAGGACGATACTTTAGATACAATATAACTACTGTTTATCCATCCAAACTGGTTAACTGCATTTGATGTTAGTAAAAGTTATAGATTAAAGTTCAAATGTAAGCGATGGTTGTTGAAATAGAATGTTCATTTAAACAAAATTATCGATAGTACTGGGTTAAGGTAAATAAGCATGAGCCTCAACTACGCAAATATTCTAAAATGGCAGATGATAAATACACTTCCACTCTCGTATAGATACACTCTTTTTTTAAAAAAAAAATATAAAATGTCTAAATTACCTTTTAAAAAAAATGAAATTCTTAAATTTACACTTCCCTTCGCGCACCCCCTTCCCCGCACAGAATGGCACCAAAACGGGCCGTTCTGCAAGAAGAACGGGACGTTCTGATTGTAGTACGGCCTGTTCTGCAAGAAGAACGGCCCGTTCTACAAGAAGAACGCCCCGTTCTGTTTGCAGTACGAGTCGTACTGAAAGCAGTACAGGCTGTTCTGCTTGCAGAACGGGCCGTTCTAAGTCGTTCTGTTGAAGTATAGGCCACCGCGTCACTTTTAAAATGGTTACCTTATGACTGATTTTAAAACTCCAATTTTAATAGTCATTTTTGTACTAGTGTGTCTTTCCATAGAACAAGTAAGAGTCTTTCTCTTACAAGACCACCTGCTGACATTGCGCACCCCTCTTCTTTCTCTTTCTGGCACTCTTCTTTTTTTTTTTTTTCGCACCTCGCACACCCCTTATTTCTCTTTCTGGCACTCCTCTTCTTCTTCTTTTTACTGTTACGGAAAGTTCTTTCCGGAATTATATAAAAATGTTCCGGAAAATACTTTCCATAATATTAAAGTTACTATTACTGAAATTTCTTTCTTTAATTATATGAACAATAATTTTACTATTCCGAAAAGTAATTTCCGGAATGTTAATGCCTGTAAAAGTACTTTCAGGAATGATAATGACTGTAAAAGAACCTTTCTTATGCTGGTTATGGTAGGGCTAGTCCTTTTTTTCTATTCAGAATGACTGAAAAAGTATATTGTTTAATGACATTGAGCGGAAAGAGGCTTTGGGAAGAAGAGGGGTGTGGAGTGTGGGGTGCGGGGTGCGGGGAAAGGGAGGTTCGGGGAAGGGAGGTGTAAATTTAGGAATTTCATTTTTTTTAAAGGGTAATTTAGATATTATATATATATTTTTTTAAAAAGGGAGTGTATTTATACGAGAGTGGAGGTGTGTTTATCATCTACCTTCTAAAATAAACAAAATTAAGGCCTGCCAAGAAGCCATGTGCGGTAGCCGGTGCGGATGACCTAAGAATCGCCCTAACTTTATTTTAAGTTCTTAATAGTAGGGTTAATTTTTTAAGCCTATGAATCCAGTAATTTACTATTTGAATTACGTTTGGGTCTATTAAAGACAAGGTGACTTTGACTCAATATAAGTAACATAATGTTTTTCTTTCTATTAGTACAATTCAGATTTAAAGAATATTTTGTATCTAATCATTACTGTTTTTTTAAGGAAAAAGATGGTTACTTGTAATTACCAAGCAAAAAAAAAAGCATTTTTGAAACTAGTCCGAGAAAAAAAAAATAATTGAGTATGTTAACCCATTTCAGACCAATGTTGTCTAGATTAGTTCTTCATGAGCAAAGATTCAAATTGATTGTTCTGAAAACAATTATCCATATTGAGTCTAATAGTCTACAAATTTCTACATAATTAAAAATTAATTAATATTTTATTACATAAATTCAAATTAAGACATTTCTTAAAAATATATTATACATTTATATATAACAGGATTCACTATTCATTTAAAAACTCATGGTCTATACTAGATTTTAATAAATTAATTATTAAATTAAAAATTCTTAATAAATAAATCAAATCTATAAAATTAAAAAAAAATTTTAATATTTTGTTACGTATATTCAAATTGAGGTGATTTATCAAAGTATATTATATTAATTTAAATTAATTTTCATATAATCAATTAAAGTATACAAGGGAACTGTCTTTACGAATATGAATTTCGTTAATTAGATAATGAAACACGTTAATAATCTTAAATAACCTTTAATAAAGTTAAAAGCGTTATTCTGAATCTGGTTATCATTTACATTTAAACCGAATAAGATACTATCAAATCAGAAAATATGAAAGAGCATTGGGTTTTTTTTGACAATTTATTGAAAGAGACAGTTCGACTGATATACACTACAAGGTCGTAATATAAATCTAATGGATGCCTGCGATTCACAAAATATCCCAATGATTTCTTGATATTTGTTAAATTTCTTTTCTTTTCCCTGGACAATAGGGGCAGACAACTGATCATCAGATAATGTAGCTAAAATAGAAGTAAATACAGAAAAAGGCAAAATCTTTCATCCTATACAAGAAATCACCACTAGTATTCCGATTGCTTGAATCGAATTGTCCTATGTTACAATCAAATGAACTAGTTTTCCAGACCCCTTGCATCAACTAGCGGAGATGTCTTGCCAGGTAATATCTCAACACTCCCACAACTATTATGAAGAGAGAAAAAATTCAAGTTGTATGTGAATCACTCATTGCGGATTGAATAATATTTATCCCAAAGAGTTTGTGATTTTGATATTTCGTTCATAAGATTCTTGAACTTGACACTGCAATCTCCTCCACTGCATAATGTAAAGTCAAAAAATATATCCCTCTCAGATAAACAACAGAAGGTTAAAAAAAAATACTACAATAAAAAAAATAAAAAAAGATCCTCTCCCAGAAGAAAGGGAGTTGTAAAATGAGATTACTATATTTGTGAGACAAAAAGGCAAATTGTTCTTGTGATTACATCTAATTAATATGGTTGGCAAATGGCAAATAAACAACGCAGTTTTCAAGGACAAGCATAGCAAGCTGAAATTCATAGGCATCCTTATTAGTCATGCTTTCAAAATGACCTTATGCGCTAAAATTTTTGTACACTTTGAACTTGTAACAATGTGTAACATACTGTTCTTTAAATTTTCAACTAATAATGCAATTACCAAATCATATTCAATGAAAAATCTAAATGATGTAACCCATCAACTTTGCCCACAAAAAGAAAAGAGCACAAGTTGATTTGAGTATTCTTAAGTAGCATTTGGCATAGCTATTTAGGGTCTTAAAAGCTAAATTTAAAGTTAAAAATGAGATTTTTAAAATTAAATCTATTTGGTAATTTTATATTTTTGTCTAGCTTAACAGTTACTTTTAAATTAAACTTTCTTTAGTGTTATAGGGCCTTGGGATTTGGAATAGAGAAGCAAAAGGAGGACCTCCTAAAATAAAACTAGCTTATTTAACAGTTACTGTAGTGTTTTCCCCCAATTTTTAAGAGCTTTTATAGAATTGTTTGGTCCCAATTATGCTTTCAAGGATAAGAGATTTTCAAAAAATAGGTCGCTCACTACCTCATTAGATTTCTACAAGTCATAAATTTTAAAGATACCTTTTCATTTGATTTATTATACCTCAGCAAAAGATAAGTAGCTTGGTTCACAAACAGGTCGAAATACAAACCTTATGCGGTTCAGGGATGCAATTGCTCGGAGTGCACTTCGAATCATGTCTTCATTACGATCTACTTCTTGCTTCACGGCGTCTTGCTTCGGCTTAAAATTAATAGTCTTCTGCAGAGGATCGACCAATGAATCCAACACTGAAAGGTGAAACCCAAGTTAGAAAGAAGAGAGGCAATACAGCAAATGCTTAATACTGCAACAGTGGCAAAATAAACCTGCCAAGACTGCAGAAGGACACTTGTCAGCCAGTTTTGAAAGTATCAGGTGGCATGGCATTTTAACATCATAATGATCTGAAAAAACACAATGTGTATCCTCAGAATTAGCACCAACAAAGAAATAAAATAACTGAAGTAGGATCGTTGAATCCCTTTACCATTACCAGTAAAATAACGTATTCAACAAATATAGTAAGAAAGGGGAGGCCCAAAGGGGAGGCCCAATGCTACTAGAGAACAGACAGACGGATTCCTAATCTACTATTTAGTACAAAACTAGTTTCCCAGTATATTAGATTATCTAGTACAAATTTGACATCTTGTGCTAAAATGCTTTGGAAAACGGATGATATGGGCCAATATGGAATTAAAATTATTGAATAAATGAATCAAAAGAAGGCAATTCTTGACAGTTGGCAGAAGGGTGAGGTGGTCACAAGTTCAAATCCTTGAAGCAGCCGACCTGGTTACAGGGATAAGGCTAAGTACATCTACGCTCCTAGACCCCACTAGGTTGGAGTATTGTGCACTGGGTCCCCTTTTAGATAAATGAATCTGAACCAACAAATGTAACTAGCAGGGACATAGAAAAGACTATAATTCTCACCATCCAAACCAGATTTAAGATAAGGAACAATGAATGATGAGGGGTTCACTTGATCAAGACAACTATCCAGCAATGTGTCTACACATTCAAAAGCTGCCTTCCTCAATTCAAGTCCATCATCCACAATATGCTTGAAAGGACCAAGATCAACTGTCCTTATGAGCTCTTGCTGTCAAAATTTTGATTAGAAAAATCAGATCATCTCCGGTAATAGAAGATCTATTTTGATAGAGGCATCTTTCTAGTAGACTCAAAAGCCATTACAAAATATATTAAAATCAAATTAAAATGTTCATAGAATCACGGGGAATGTACAGTCAACTTTTAATGTTATACACCCAACAAAAATACAAGGAATGGAATGCCACAGTTCAGGTTACCTTAACAATTGTTTGATCATATAGAAGAGGCAACAGATCAGGAAGAAGCCCCTTGATGAGATTCGGTTTATTGTGTGCAAATGTGCTTAGAGCCAAGACAGCAGCTCGCCTAACATGCTGCATGCTCAAAATAACAATCAGCAATAATAAAGTTCAAACTAAATAACCATGGGC